GGAGCCCTGCCCCTGTGGCTGCCACGTGGCGCAGCCGGCCGGGGCTCCCGCGGGCCGTGGGGCTCTGTTCCTCTCTCTCCCTTGCTCTGGGCACTTTCCCCAGGCAGTGTCCCCTGGCTCCTTGGACTCAGCCCAGGGGCGGTGGGCGCTGTCGGACCTGCTCTGCGTGGGGCCGCCTCGGGGCGCTTGTTCTGAACTTCTCACCGTCGCTCCCAGCCCTGTTTTGCCTTTCCTTTGGCCCAAGAAATTCGCTGTTACTTTCTCAGTGGCCTCCCTTTCTAATGGAGGAAAAGCTGGGAAGTTAAGTGACTCCCCCAGTGCTGTGTGACTAGAAATGCTGTTGCCACTGCCAGGCAGTTGGCTTTAAACTTTGCACGGAGCAGGGATCAAAGCGGGGCGGGGGGCTGCAAGTGCACTACTGCACTGTCCCCTGGATCCACCCCTGTGCAGGCACATGCCTATATTTCTTTTGCACACCAAATAGGTCTGCTGCCCCAGCCCTGTCTCTTCAGTGAAGTGTTTTGTTGGAAACAACAAAGCATTTTCCTTGGGAGGCTCTAAAAGTTTCTAGCAAGGGTCTGGAAACCCGCTCCAGGTGCAGTGAGAGAGTTGCATGCCCTTCAGAGACAAAGGAAAGCAGTGTCCAGCCCCAAGGACTGCTTCTCCATCATGCTGCAGAGGCTGGTGCCCACCCAGGCACAGGTTGGGGAAGTTGGGGATCCAGCCAGAATTGCTCCTCTGCTTCAGTGGCCCTTCAGGGCTTGCTACAGGTGCAGAGTACCACAGACACACTGATATCTTGGCCCCAGCTGTGCTTTCAGTTTGCAGAGCTGCCCCTGCTCTGGTCCATCCCTGTCCAGTCCCACATAGGGACACTTGCTGGGCCTATGGATGTTTCTATGCTGGAGGGTTTCCTTGAATGTTGAAAAGGATTTACAACACCTTTGGAGCAGACAGTGGGGTAATGCAGGGCTGTTCAACTTTGGAGCAGCTAAGGATTGCATGCAGCACTAGTTACTGGTCCCACATCACACAGGCCACATACTGCAGGGGACAGACACGTACCAAAGTGGGTTCCCTGAACTAACCTCTTCCCCCGCTGCATAGCTTGTGCAAGCCCCTTCCTCTCTTCCACTGTAGGGGCAGTGTGAACTTTCCTCACTGGATGCCCTTCTCACCGTGCTGCCCTGCCACAGAGACTCCACATCTCTGGGCACCTCCAGATGAGAGAGGACCTCCTCTGGACACCCTTGAGGCACCACAAAGCACACATTCCCATTCGTCTGGACACACCCTCTGACTACTTTCGGATAGAGGTCCTTCTTGCATTGGTTTGAAAATTTTCCTTCTCAGTCTGCAGGGATCACAACCTGTGTACCATTCATGAGTACTCCTGAGATCACCAAGAGTTCATGTTTATATTGAGACTATGTACGTGGGAAACATGATTCTTTTCCCTCCTTTACTCATTGCTTGTATCACTGCTTGCAGTGTTTCATCTCTAGCCATTTCTATCACCAGTTCCTCCCAAATGCCTGGAGATATAGAGCATGCTTTAATCATATTCACATGGTTACAGTTTGCTCCAAATAATCAGGCTGTGGACTGTTTGATAGCGGGCATGCTCTTGAAAGCATGTCTGCCACTGTGGTGGCAGGTTGAAACCCCAGGGCCATATCACAGTTCTGCAATTTCAGAAGTAGTCACTGTACCTTAGTGGTTCATTTCTGAGTCCTCTTCTGAATATTTCAGTCAGTGGTTTGTGATCTGTTTCTAAATGAATCTTTAGCCATACAATAAGCGGAATCTTGCATATCCCCAAACCAGGCCAAGGGTCTTTTTTCAGTTTGTGCATATAATTTTTCTGCAGCTGTCACAGCTCTAGATGCATACAAGATTGGCAACCTATGACCTATAGTACTATAATAGAAGACATCTATGGAGAATCTGATGTCTTTTAATGGATCAAAGAATTGTAGCACTGGAGTGGATATCGATAGCATTTAGTTCACTTTCATGTTCTGGCATCCAGGCCCATTCTGTGCCCCTGTGGAGAAGCTGCCTTCAGTGAGTTGTGCAAGCTGTGTAGTTAGGTATAAACTTGCTGACGTAATTCAACATTCCTAGTAGTCTTTGAATTCCATGTTTATCTTCAGGTTATGGCATGTTCAGTATGGCCTGAATATTTGAGTTGTCGGGTAAGATTCTCCTTGAGGTCAGTGCCTCACCCAAACATGTTATTTCTCTTGTCCGAAACTACCATTTATCCTTATTCAGTTTGAGGTTGTTAGCTCTTGCAATATGCAGTACTTTTTCCTCAGCCCTTCTTGATGTTCAGTGGTGTTACAGCCCCAAGTTATTATATCAATGTGATAGACTTGGGTAATCTCCCTCTTCAGAGTCTGATGTCTCTAGTTGCCAGACTGGCCCATCCGTGATCCCCAACCTCCTCCACCTCCAGTTTCTCACCTGCCATGACTTGCTGTTAAATTTATATCAATAGGGAGGCTGCTTATAGAAGCTGGGGGGCTTACTTCTTGATGCCTGTTACCTGTCTCCTCTCACCCCACAGGTGTACTCCCTCTTTAAGAGGGCCTTGGTCACTTTAGGGGCTAGAAAGGCGACCTCCAGCAGCCCCCATAGTTATGCCCATGCCTTGCAGATGCCAATCAGTATTTTGGAGAGGTGGCCCTCGCCCTGACTCTGCACTTGGCTGCTCAAGCTTCAGACCATTGTTGGGGCTTGTTTCTTCCTGGCTTCCACCCCTTTCCTCTAGCTGCCTTCCCGGCCCTCCTACCCAGGTCCACCGTCCTAAACCTCAGCTTCTGGATCCCAGCCCTGTCTGACCCTCTTGGTCTCCAGGTCACTGGCCCTGGCCTCTTGTGGTAGCCCCCAGGGTCCCTGCACCTCAATAGGCAGCTTGTGTGCTGCTCTGCCCCAGGCGTCCCCAACTCTGGCAAGGGAGGTCTATACTGGATTGCCTCTCAGGCACCCCTGTGGCCTCTAAACTGCCCCTCATAGCCACAATCCAGTCCTCTGGTCTTAAGCATAATATAAGTATAACAGAAAAGCCCTGAGTCTTTGCTCCCCAGAGTCCTGGCACTGGCCAGGTGGGCTCTGGAGTCCATGTGAGCTTGGCATGTGTTGTGGGGGGAGGAGAAAAAAAAGTCTCAAATCCACAAGGTCTGCCATTCCCAGCTAGGAAGCTCAGGGCCACATTAAAAAAAGGCTTGAACTCTCAACCTGCTGATCCCCAGCTCCCCACACAAGCCCTTTAGCTACAGAAACTGGCTGTAGAAGCCCCTCTCTGAAGAACTTCAGTGGACAAATGCCCTCCAATATTACAATGCAAAGAAAGCTTATAAATAGATTTAAGAATGAATATTTTCTTCCCTTGTCATTTTCCCCATGTTTTAATGTTAATATCATCCCAAGTTTGTGTGTGTTCTGAAGGCAGGCCAAGAGATGTCAGAGTGAGGGGAGGGGAAGAGGGG